GCCATTATCTTATGTCTCATTTACTGCAACGTTCTCTTCTCTGGTCTCAATAAATGCAATTTTGCCCCTCTTTTATTCATTCAAAATTTTGTTCCAAAGATCATTTCCCTAGCCCATTGTTTTGACCAGGTCACCCTCTCTTTGTATACCTCCACTGGCTCCTCCTCCTTTATCACCAAAAGTAAGCTACTTGTCTTCACTTTGAAGTCCATTCACAGCCTATCTGCACGGTCCTTATCATGTCTTATATGCTATCAAGATGTCAACTCCTGCCTCTGATCTGCCAGTGGTGCTGGCCTTTGTAGTCCACTTCTTAAATTTTCAAATAGAGGTCTTTGTGCTTTCTCAGATGGTGCTCCTCATGCTTGGGAGGAGTTACCCATAAACAGCAACAAAGTCACCACACTCTCGTCCTTCAAAACTGTCCTTAAACTCTTTTGATGTGATCCCGACAACAGTTAGGCTGCTGGTGTACTGGCACCGGAGCCTATCATGCTGACCAATATAATCTTATTGTTTCTTTGTGCTCCCCCAGGCTGTCTACAGCAGGGGTTCTCAAACTTTTTTTTTGCTGGGCCCCCCTTTGAAAATATTTCAGACTGTGACCCTCTTTCCCCCCCCCCCCCCCAACAAGAGTGATAGAAAATTACTATGGTATTGCTACCCTTCTGCTCAGCTGCTGCGCTGGCTTCAGAGCTGGGCGGCAGGAGCATGGCTGCTGCTGACCTGGCTCCCAGCTTTGAAGGCAGCGTTGCCACCAGGAGCAGCGCAGAATTAAGTCTGGCAATACCATGCCTGCTGCAGGGCTCTACCCCTACCATTTATTTCCTGGCATTTTTCTACCCCAGCTTTGCACTCTGGGCGGCTGCCCTGCTCTCCTTGTCCTGGTTATGGCTCTGATCTTGTGACCCCCCACCACCCCCCCACAGTAGCCTTGCAATCTCCTTTTGGGTTGGGACCCCCAGTTTGAGAAACATTGGTCTATAGTCACCTGTTTTCTCTTATACCTAGATTGTAAGTTGTAGGGCAAGGACTGTCTTTTTGTAGTTTGTGTGTTCAGTGCCCAGTGCAATGTGGTCTTGGTCCTGTGTGCTCCTGCCATACAAACAATAATTAATAAATAATTGTTAGTAAAAAGTAGTAGTATACTTTAAAAAAAATCTTCAGGAATGGAGGGTCTGTCAAGGGTTCCATAGTCTATGGCACTGTGCATACAACAGGAGCCTGTAGTTTTTAGGTTGCCTGAGCTTAAAGCTCAGGGGAACATTTTCAAAGATAATTTAAATGGGCACATTTTGAGTTGGTAATTTGACTTTAATACTGTTATGGGGATCCTGTTTTAGAGATCTGAAGCACAGTGAAGGCCTAAAGGAACTGTATAAAGGAGACAGATACCAGCCATTCTCAAAACATTCTAAATCCTGGAAGATAAGGGAGCGATAATTAATGCAGTCAGCAAAGACAATTCTAGGTTTCGTTGTGAACAGTAAATAAGTTTAAGCTAATTAAATTTCTGTGTATTGATAGTGAGGCAATTCCATAACTGTTTTAAAGTGGTTCATTATTCAATTTAAAATTAGGAGCCCAGTTAATTGTATTTTTCTACATTGAGCATGCAGTGCAGCTTTAGTAAGGGAGTTGTAACATTTGGAGAATAATTTGTTTTACAGTACAGGCTATGTAAAGTACTTCACTGTCAAGGAGAATGAGAGTTTGGAGCATTAGTATTTAAAAACATTGGAGTCAAAATGAAGGAAATGCCTTAATGTATGGAAATTCTACTTTTGAAGCAAAAATGCATTGCATTTTTCAGAAACCTATATTTAGGGTTTTTTTAAAAAAGGGGATTAATCAGTTGTATTTTGCAGTAAAATCCTTCTGCTGGAGAAATGAATAACATTCATGGAAAGGTAAAGAACACTTTTTAAAAACATATTTTAACAACAAATGTTAAATCCTTTTATTTTTCCTCTTCTACTGCCATCCAACACTTTGCAGGAATAAGAAAAGGAGTACTTGTGGCACCTTAGAGACTAACCAATTTATTTGAGCATGAGCTTTCGTGAGCTACAGCTCACTTCATGCTCAAATAAATTGGTTAGTCTCTAAGGTGCCACAAGTACTCCTTTTCTTTTTGCGAATACAGACTAACACGGCTGTTCCTCTGAAACTTTGCAGGAATAGACTCATTGAATTAGCTGAGTTGCCTTGCAGTCTTCTGTAATACCATAGTTCAAAATTTCAGTCTTTTAGTCAACATAGTCTACACTTTTGTCATCTTTAGTGTATTTTAACAAATGGCTGACAAGTGTGTGTGTGTGTGTGTGTGCCATGAAAGAACATGATTTTCCTTCACCTTCCTTTTCCCTGGGCTGATGATCAGAACATAGACTGTAAGGAAGCTTAGACAAGTAGAAATGAAGGAAACTGCAGTGTAATTTATTTATTTTAATTAATATAAAGCTTGGATCTTGTGACTTAAAAATAATTTATTAGTGTGTAGACTATCAAGACATTCATTTTAAGTCTGTGATTTAAACTGAGTAAATAGCTCGAGAATCTTGCTTTCAAATGTAATGAGCTAGCTAAGAGGAGGAAAGAGATACATATTATATAGTGCTTTTACTGTAGCTTGAGTAGTTGTGGAATGTGAAGTCTTTAAGTGTGTAACAGCTGTTCTGTATTGTAAACTTTAATAATACTGTTGATAGTTTGCATTTCAATGATGCCTTCCATCTGCGGGTCTCTTTGAAAACATTAGCAAACCAAGCCTAACTTCACCTTTGTGAGGTAGGTATTCTCCACATTTTACAGATGGGAAAACTGAGTCACAAAGAACCTATGATGTACCAAAGGTCATCCAGTGAGTCAGCCACAGAATTGGCAATAGAATCCAGCTTTCCTGACACCCAGTCCTGTGCTCTTACCATGATACAATTTCAGATAACTATCATATCAGAAATGGATATTTGAGAGTTGTGTTAATTTTAGTGATGGTGGTTTTAAAAAGGGGAGGTATCTGAGTACATTTTTGTAGTATTTCAGATCAGAGTTCTCTCTTCTGCTGGAGATGCATTTTTTTCTGTTTCATTTGGCGATATTTCCTAGTTTTCTTCTGCAATCTGAGCCATGCCTGTGGGGTAGTTGGAGGTTTCACAGTTGACTCAATGCCATCTCTGACATAACAGGAGAAAAGGAAATTAAATTGGTCTTCTCAATATAAACTTTTATCATGAAATAAGGGAGAGTCAGTCCAATAAAATTACTGTTGATAAAGATGATGGAATGGTCTTCATACCAGAATTTTCTTGGATTGAAGGGAGCGGAAATCTGTCAGGAGTATATAAATGGTAGCTTTCAGACAAGGTTGTAATGGGGTGTGGGAAATGGTGCATTTTGACTGCTGTAAGGCAGAAAAAACTAAGATTCATGTTTCAATGTGTTAATGGTTAAAAATGAATAGTTTTACAGTGAGTCTGAGACAACACGAACAGCTGGCTAATTTATAGCAGTATGTTTTTTCATCAGGAGAGGGCAGCTCTTTATAGAGAACCTAAACCCCATACTAAGACTATAAATGTTAGATGTAAAATGAAATGATCTAGTACATGCCAGTAGCCCAGAAAACATACATATGCAGATTTGACTCATTTCCTTTCCCAATTTTTTTTTTTTTTTTTTTTTTTTTGCCAGAGGCTTTAATTTTATTAAATTCCAATTTGCTGCCTTTATGGTCCGGCAATATTGCTTCGTGCTCAGATTCTGAGTTTAAGGTTTGGGTGATATTTCTTATTTCTGGGGTTGATTGGGAAGTTGTAGATTTCTACCTGAGATGGGGATTTGATAGGAGCAGGCAACGCTGCTGCAGGACAGATAATTGCCTCTGTTGATGAATAAGAAATGATGCTCACAGTTTCAGAAACAGCTGCATCCACTTGTACTAGGAGGGGGATGCTGTCTGTGGGAAAGAGACGGTAACATCCCTGCTGGAGCTAGAGCTAGTCAAATTTTTTAAACTTTTGAGTTTTCAATGAAATTTAAAATTTAATTTTCATTGGGGGTGGGGAGATGGAACACAAATATTCACTGAAAATTTTGCAGTTTTTTCTCACCCATGGAAGTGATTTGAAATTTGTTGATATTCAGAAATGAAGTTGAAGTTTTGACGTTTTTCAAAAGTTCGAAAATCAATAAACGTGTTATGAAAAATTCTTGTTTTCCATTTTTTTTCAACTTTTTTTCAACCACCTCTAGTTGGAAGGCAATTGAAGTCAGGGTACAATTTCAGGAAGTGGGTGCCTGGTGCATAAGAACTAGCATAAAAGGGCAAAACCAGTATCCAGAAAGCTGTTGAAAATCCAGCAACTCTGTGTATAAGTTTTTGGAGAACTTTTGTTTACAATGGACTGATAAATTGGTTTTAACTTTACAAAGTTTAGTAAGCTGTCCCAGTGATGCAACTCTCACAATTCAGTGCTGCTTCTTGGAACGCTAGGCTGTCCTGTGAATAGTTTCCATTACTGAGCAATGCAAGGTGGATGTGGCGTGCTTGGCCTCTTGGGGTATGTCTACACTGCAATTAAAAACCTGTTCCAGCTGACTTGGGCTTGGGCTAAGAGACTGTTTTATTGCAATGTAAATGTCTGGGCTTGGGCTGGAGACCAGGCTCTAGGACCTGCAAGGTGGGAGGGTCCCAGAGCTCAGGGATCCTTAGTCCAAGCCCCATGAGCCTGCATGAGCTGTCAAGAGCCTGTGTCAACTGGCACGGGCCAACCATGGGTTTTTAATTGTAGCATAGATATACCCTGGGAGGGGTGGAAGACTCTGAATGCTTCCCAGCTCTAGAGGGGAAACTCTTTACTAGACCCTTCCATCATGGAAAACTCAGCATGGCGAAATGTGTTTGGATGTTTTAAAATATATTTGTTGGTACTTTTGTCTTTGTCAAGAAGAAAAACACTCTTATAAGATATTTTTGCATTGTTTTCTCTTATTTATAGAGACGGAATGGAGAAGATATTCCAGTCGCCCAAACTAAAAATATCAATCACAGAAGATTTGCTGCTACCTTCAAGTTGCGAGAGGTGACAAAAACTGATCAGGATTTATATCGCTGTGTAACTCAGTCAGAGAGAGGCTCTGGAGTGTCCAATTTTGCTCAACTTATTGTGAGAGGTAAAGTTGCAAATGTTTTCATTTTATTAAATTAAATACTCTTAACATCAGTGCATCATATTTACATTTTTATTTAGCCAACGGATAGCACTATAAAATTACAGAAATCCTCATAAAATAAAACTAATAAATGTGGCTGTAAAGTTTTGACAGCCTTGTTTCTGACAAGTGCTTTCCATAGAATGGGATTCTATAAAAAGTCCTAATAATGCAATGCATGTAAAATACCATATTCCTTTCCACTATCTTCTAGATAGTATTGGTTGAGATGAATACTGATTAACATTTAACAAATAATTTTACAGATATGAAAGTATCTACTGTAATAAGTTAATTTTTACTTCTAAACGTTTTTGCCTTAGGCAGCCTAGTGGTACAGAAAATAGTAGATTTCTCTGTGAACTGAAAGACTCCGGTATACAAAAATTTTCTCAATTGTTCACCTGTCTGAGGGCTAGGAGCGTTTATTGAGATTTTGCTCTCGGGCTATTTGTGGGATGGGGAGAAGCAATGGTATATTTGCTCAACCCCCAACCCCAAACACTTTAAATGAATTTCAGTTCACTCAGAAGTGTGGCAGCCTGCTGCAATGCAATCATGGCTTATGCTTGGGGAGCGGGATGGTTATGTTTTAATTAAGCTTGATGACCCAGAAGGAAGGGATGTGAATTTTCTGTTTCAGTTGTTTGTTGTGACCCTGTTTCCTGACTTTAAGTGACCTTGTTGGTGTACTTAGGCTTACCAAGTCTGGCAGTGGCTTAGAGTTTGTAATTTGGGGTTGTGGGAGATAAGGAGGCACTTGGTCTAGTCATGAGAACACAGGCCTGGGAGTCAAGACTACTGGGTTCAGTTCCCAGCTTCGCAACTCACTTGCTATGGGGCAAGTCATTTAACCTCTCTGTGGCTATCTTTACTCAACTGTTCAATTACCTACTCACACATTTGCAGTGAGGCTTAATGAATATTTTTTAATGTGCTTTGAGACTCCCAGGTGAAAGGTGATTGAGAAGTGCAAAATATTATTACAAAAACCATCATTAATTGGGCCGTGCCACTTCCTTGCTGAACAGCCATAGGCTTCAGTAATGTTATCTGCTGTTTTGTACAGTAGTTAGTCATATTTCTTCTTGTGGATCACTATATAATTTCCTTTTTTTATTGTGATAAAATTAGTCCTGTTACAACATGAAAACTAATTTTTGATATAACTAAGAAACTAAAACATTCAAATATATTTGCCCAAGAAATGACTGATGGTTTTTAGTTCTTTCCAGTGCAAGAAAACAGTAAAGTAAAATAGTTTTTAAAAAGTTTTGGAAAACTCAAGTTACAATACTGAAGTCCAGAGTAAAACTCAGTTTTATGACCTAATCTTAGCTTGATGATAAGTAGCAATCTAGTCAATACAGACAGTTTATATATATATAGATTTTACTATTTTAAAAGTTCAGGTTTTTAGAAGTATATATTGCACTTTCTAGAGTTAGAAGCTGAAGAATGTTAGCTATTTTCTTCTATTTTACTTAAATCCTTTAAATGCTCTAACAGTTTTTCTACCAATGCATTGGTCTATTGAACATCAGAATAAGAAATGAGTGTACAGGATTTGTTGCTCACTGTTATATTTGAAAAACAATATACCGTAATATATTTTCTTGTTTGTCTGGATAACCACCAAATAAATCTTGTTAGCCAAAAACATACCCTTGGGGGTCAGCTACCCTGGTGTTAAAACTGTGCTGAAAATTAACCATAATGACAGGTCCTATATCTCAGTGGCACTTTAAAGCTGACAACCTGCTACATGGATACAAAAGACGGTAATTTTAAAGGAAATTTTTGGGCCACTGATATGAATTACCTTTAATAAGAGCTGGCATAGTATTGCCCATTGTCAAAGATGACCCAGGGGTAAGAGTTTATTAGTGCATTTCCTCCTAAACCGAAAGTGACAGGGCTTGCTTAGGGCCTTTTTGTTGCTGTTTGTAACAAATGAAAATTTCACTGTGGAATTCTCATGCTGAAGAGTATTGATCTGTGTGTTCTCACAGCCAGAGGAAAAAAAAAATACGGTGAAACACAATTTACTTTGTCATGACTTTAGGATTGCTTCCAGATCATTCTGAGTAATGATAATGTCTTCAGCTTGTAGAAGCCAAACTTTATTGACAACACTGGTTATTAGAGAGCGAGAGATGAACCGCATCTGTTGCTCAGTGCAATCAAAATTTTGGGTTGTGTGTATATACTGTGTATATGTGTAGAATACGTACTTTAATATAAAAAGAAAAGGAGTACTTGTGGCACCTTAGAGACTAACCAATTTATTTGAGCATGAGCTTTCGTGAGCTACTTTCGTGAAGTGAGCTGTAGCTCACGAAAGCTCATGCTCAAATAAATTGGTTAGTCTCTAAGGTGCCACAAGTACTCCTTTTCTTTTTGCGAATACAGACTAACACGGCTGTTCCTCTGAAACCTGTACTTTAATATAGATGTGTAAACAAGGTGCAGTTTATACTCAGCAAGGTATTTTAATATTGATAATGGAAATTCCAATTTTATAACTTATTCTATGCAAATCACCATCTGCAAATCAGCATCTAATTATTCTTACAAGGAAATTATCTCTAGACTTTACCACCAGATTTTTTTGGCACCACTTAGAATCATAGAATATCAGGGTTGGAAGGGACCTCAGGAGGTCATCTAGTCCAACCCCCTGCTCAAAAGCAGGACCAATCCCCAATTAAATCATCCCAGCCAGGGCTTTGTCAAGCCTGACCTTAAAAACTTCTGAGGAAGGAGATTCCACCACCTCCCTAGGCAACGCATTCCAGTGTTTCACCACCCTCCTAGTGAAAAAGTTTTTCCTAATATCCAACCTAAACCTCCCCCACTGCAACTTGAGACCATTACTCCTTGTCCTGTCCTCTTCTACCACTGAGAATAGTCTAGAACCATCCTCTCTGGAACCACCTCTCAGGTAGTTGAAAGCAGCTATCAAATCCCCCCTCATTCTTCTCTTCTGCAGACTAAACAATCCCAGTTCCCTCAGCCTCTCCTCATAAGTCATGTGTTCCAGACCCCTAATCATTTTTGTTGCCCTTCGCTGGACTCTTTCCAATTTATCCACATCCTTCTTGTAGTGTGGGGCCCAAAACTGGACACAGTACTCCAGATGAGGCTTCACCAATGTCGAATAGAGGGGAACGATCACGTCCCTTGATCTGCTCGCTATGCCCCTACTTATACATCCCAAAATGCCATTGGCCTTCTTGGCAACAAGGGCACACTGCTGACTCATATCCAGCTTCTCGTCCACTGTCACCCCTAGGTCCTTTTCCGCAGAACTGCTGCCTAGCCATTTGGTCCCTAGTCTGTAGCTGTGCATTGGGTTCTTCCGTCCTAAGTGCAGGACCCTGCACTTATCCTTATTGAACCTCATCAGATTTCTTTTGGCCCAATCCTCCAATTTGTCTAGGTCCTTCTGTATCCTATCCCTGCCCTCCAGCGTATCTACCACTCCTCCCAGTTTAGTATCATCCGCAAATTTGCTGAGAGTGCAATCCACACCATCCTCCAGATCATTTATGAAGATATTGAACAAAACCGGCCCCAGGACCGACCCCGGGGCACTCCACTTGACACCGGCTGCCAACTAGACATGGAGCCATTGATCACTACCCGTTGAGCCCGACAATCTAGCCAATTTTCTACCCACCTTATAGTGCATTCATCCAGCCCGTACTTCTTTAACTTGCTGACAAGAATACTGTGGGAGACCGTGTCAAAAGCTTTGCTAAAGTCAAGAAACAATACATCCACTGCTTTCCCTTCATCCACAGAGCCAGTAATCTCATCATAGAAGGCGATTAGATTAGTCAGGCATGACCTTCCCTTGGTGAATCCACTTTCGAAGATCCTCTAAGAAATTCCTTGGCTGTTTCATTTCACTCTCATTAAGTTTTGTTTCACAAGTAAGACCAGTATAGTGTTTTCAATTCAATTACAACATTTTACCAGAGGTATTTCCAGTCAATAATTTAATGTTGAAACCTTTACTTTGAGTTGCGCTTCAGCTCTCAGCTCAGTAGCTGTGTTGTATTGATTTTAATTGGGTTCTGTGGCACAGCTGTCAGTCTTGTGTATTTTCCTTCTACAGGAAGCTGTGTACAGTTTCAGACAGTAAACTTACCTAACTGAAAATGTCCCCCAGTCCCATCTTCTACTTCCTCTTTCATTTGTTCCCTGGTAAAATTGCCAATGCCCAGAAGACAATATGCAGCCCTGTGCAGATGCCTGTTTTTGTGGTGTTGAATGTAATATGGGATAGGAGAGGGGAGAGAGCTATGAAATCTGAATGCTAGCAAGCAGAGAGATTATCTCCTTTCTTCCTCACTACAAAGCATATGGGTGAAAAACAAGGCTGAAACATAGGCTTGCATTGTTCTGATTTACATAAATAATGTACCTGAATATTATGGTTTCTCTAGAGTATTTCACGTAGTATTTCTCGATTTGCTTTTATTTAAACTAGCTACGTGTCATTCAGCAGGTTGAGTATGCAAAATGTCTGGTACATTATTAGATGTTGCAAGATAAACAGGATCCACAATAGACTTATTTCACACAATGGTTCTTGCACAGGTTACTTTGAAGAAAACGTTGATTAGTGTGAATCTGCTAGTCATGGAAGCGAAAATTTGTCAGGGAAATACATATGTCCAGCTGCAACATTTTAAACTGAGCTATAAATAGTTCCATCATTTGTCTGAAAGAGATTTGATGATTTTATTGAAACATTTTTAAATGCAACTTTTACTGAAATCCTATCCTTGTCACAATTATGGAAGTTGTTTTTTTAAATGGCAAGAGTTTAGTAGATTTTTTCCCTTTCTCTTCTCTTTTCTGTCAGCCCAGATTGAGATTACTATGGGAAGTCGAAATGAGAGGCTTAGGTCATGGGTACACTTGCAGATGTAGAGCTCTTTGAGTTCAAC